CCTGGGCGGGGCTGGAGTGGATCCACTATTGCTAGTAGTTTTTTCTGCTAGTGCTCAGGCAGCAAAAACAGAGCTTGGGGGACAGCCCTCCTAGGCGCCATTTTCAGCTGTAACGGCCTCTTGCAGCCCTCTGCCAATGAAAATGGAGTTCGGGGGGAGCTGCACGTGGCCCTCCTGAGCTCCATTTTTGCTGGCAGAGCCACCGTGGGCTGGTCCTTTGAAGTTTTCAGGGATCTAAGCACCCTGTGGGCCACATTCATCCAGCCCATGGGCCTTGAGTTTGACACCCCTGAAATAGATGAATGTAAGTAATGTAAATGCATTTGGTCATTGAAATCTTAATATTAAAAGTCATAGGATTGTCTCTTATATCGTTTTCTGAATGAAGAAAGTGTCAGTGTTCTTGATATTTTCTGGATGAAGAGTGTCAATGTTGTTGAGAGTTCCCTTAACTCACTTTTCTATACATGGTTCATGGACATGATTTTTGATGAATTTAGAGAGGGCAAGATCAACATAGATAAGACCTTAAAGCTGCTCAACAAGTTTGAAGTCTCTTACGATTATGTTCATGTGAAAAAAGTTTTTAAGGTGAGGAAATATATATATATATATTTAAAAAATGTGTTGCAAAAATATGATCAAAGCCATTTTCTCAGATGTTGAATGGGCAAATGTCTAGATTAAAGTTTTCTTTTAATATGGAAATGCATGTTTTTAGATATCCCACCTTTATTATTTTTATAAATAATTTAAAACAGGGAACCTAATACTCCTTTCTGCTCCTATATTCCCCAAAACAACAACACTATGAGATGAGTTGGGCTGAGAGAGAGAGTGACTGGCCCAAAGTCACCCAACTGGCTTTTATAACTAAGTTAGGACTAGAACTCCTGCTTTCCTGGTTTTTAGCCTGGCACCTAAACCGCTATACCAAAGTAGCTCTGATTATTGATAGGTAATGTTCTTGTTTAGTATTTGTTGCATTTGTTCAGAGGAGCATTTGTTATGTTCCATTTGAAATATTGTTCGATGCAATTGTACTGTGTCAACTTCTTTTCAGTGTGTCAATCAATCAATCTTTTATTACAGACATAGATAGAATTACACCGTAATTTGTTTTTCCATTACATCTTTCCCTCTCTTCCTGTCCTCCACCCCTTGAAAAATTAATTCATTGAATGTATTCTTAATCAAGGCAAGTCCTGATTCAGGAATGTCTAATCTGGGTCTGGGAAAATTATATACATTAAACGATAGACTTGAGCAAGTTCTATATTTTTCGTTGGTATTAAGCCAGCATGGGAGAAAAGAAAAAGGAAATAGTGCAAATGGCTGTCTTAGATAGGTTTCAGATAAAATCAAATTAAATCTTTATTACAGGTAGTCCTTGAGTTACAACTACAATTGAGAACAGAGCTTCTGTTGCCAAGCAAGGCAGCTATTAAATGAGTTACATCCAATTTACAATGTTTTTTGCCACAGTTGTTAAGTGAATCACTGCAATTGTTAAGTGAATCATGCACGAATTAAGCGAATTCAGCTTCTCCTATTGATTGGCTAGAAAGAAGCTGGCTGGGAAGGTCACAGATAGTGATCACATGACCTGAAACTGTCATAAAGACAGTTTCATAAAGTTGCCAAGTGCCTGAATTTTGATCATGTGATCATGAGGAGGATGTGATGGTTGTAAGTTCAAAGATGGTCATACGTCCCTTTTTAAAGTGCCTTTGTAACTTTGAATGGTTGCTAAAGTAATGTTTGTAAGTCGAGGACTACCTGTAGAGTAGCATAATTCTGTGTGTTTTTCAGCTGTATGAGATAAATGAAGGTCATACCGTGTTTTCCCCAAAATAAGACTTAACCAGAAAATAAGACCTAGCATGATTTTAGAATGCTCATAATATAAGCCTTACTCCCAAACTATGCCCCAGTTAAGGTCGTCAGTCAGACGAATGCATTTAATTACTGCAATTCTCTGAAAATAAGACCTAACTGGAAAATAAGCCTAATGTGTCTTTTGGAGAGAAAAAATAATATAAGACCCTCTGAAATTATTTTCAGAGAAATACAGTAGCATTGCTATGAGTTTGAATGTATTTCAATCCTAATCATACCAGTTCTCTCCTGCTTTCTTGCATATTTAGGCTTGCCATCAGATTAGAGGTAGTCCTTGACTTATGACCACAGTTAAGCCCAAATTCCCTTTGTTAAGCAACACAGTGGTTAAGTGAGTTTTGCTCCACTTCATGACCTTTCACAGTTGTTAAGTGAATCACTGCAATTGTTAAGCTAGTCACACAGTCGTTAAGTGAATCTGGCTTCCCCATTGACTTTGCTTGTTAGAAGGTCGCAAAAAGGGATCATATGAGCCCATCATAGATATGAATCAGTTGCTAAGCATCTTAATTTTGCTCATGGGGAATACTACAACAGTCATAAGTATGAAAAATGATCACAAATCCCCCTTTTCAGTGCCATTGTAATTCTGGATGGTTACTAAATGAACTGTTGTAAGTTGAGAACTACCTGTAATGGCTTATTTTCAAATAAAAGACACCCCTTTCCCAGAGTTCACTTCCTGCCGGTGGGAACTGTGGAAGTTACGGAGGCCCGAGAAGCGGCTGAAACGCTGCCGGTGGACATCCATGCTGCCGCCACCTGCCCACTGACCTGGGTCTGCAGCAAAGGCGCTTGGCAGGGGTAGGGAGTCCTCTGCGCTCCACCACGATCGGTCGTTAGGAGCGGCTGGTGGTGACACATGGCTGCCCGTGGGGCGCTCTAGGAGAGGGTGCACGGGGGGGCGGAGAAATTAATTCACCCCCAAAAAGATGTCCTAGATGTTTTTTTGGGGTAAAAAAAAATTAGACCCAGCCTTATTATATGAGAAACATTGTAGCTTTTTGGGGGGCTGCCGTCACACACTGCTGGCTCATATTTAAGTGATTGTCCATTAAGACTCCAAGGTTCCTCTCACAATTACTGTTTTGGAGCCAGGTTTTGACTAATCTTTTTTTTCCCCCTTTTGGTAGAAAAATGACAAACAGAAGTCTGGACTTATTACCATGGAAGATTTCAGAGCAATATACCGAATGCTTCTTCACAGACCAGAACTGGTTGAACTTTTCAACAGCTACTCGGCAAACAAAAAAGTTCTATCACCATCAAATCTAGCTGAATTTCTCAAAAAGGAGCAATTTGAGCTTAATGCGAATGAAGGAAGGGCTGTTTCGCTCATTAATCGATACGAACCCATTAATGAAGGTACCCCAAAGTTCTAAAGTTATGATTTAATTAGTGGAACTTCCTTTTCTAAGGAAAGAATGAAGGTTGAAAATAGAAACAATGCAAACGATTGTCAGACTTTTTAAAAAAGCATACTTTTTGCTTGGAAGAAACCATTAGTCGTGGTTTGCTGTCGTCGTTGTGTCTTCTATGTATTTAATAGAAGATCAGAATTGTCATTTTTGTGTAGCCACCCTCTTTGAAGTGATGTGTAACCATTTAAAATATGTACAACCTTTAAAGCAATATATATTGTAATTTTATGTATGCTTTTATAAATTTAAATTGTATTCATTTATTATACATGCTAATTAATCATGACCTAAATGAAGAGTGAGCTCAGCTTCTAAATATGCTTTATAATTCTCTGTTGAAAAATGATTCTTCTGTGTATACAAGCATTGCAACTATTTTGATCTTTTTTTTGAATGCATTATGTTTTGCGTTTCTTTTTTGTCAATTTGTCTACTTTAAAGCAAAACACTGGTTTATCTACATTGCACTATACTGCATGCATGCTTTATCTTAGTAAATGTTTCATTCAGATATTAAATGTAACCACAGGAATATCAGTTCAAGTCATAATAATTTATGAGATAAATCTTTTCAAATATGTTTTTCTGCAGCAGCTTAGACCGATAATTTTACAGTTCAGATTGCAATAGAGGCAACTGGTAAAATGTTAGAAGGAAAAAAGTTAGTTATACAATCCTTGAATTTTTAAAAATCTTCTATTTTTAACGTTGGGTTGGCCTAATAATACAGGTAATCTTCGATTTATGTGTGCAATTTCTGTTGCTAAGTGAAACAGTTGTTAAATGAATTTTGCTTCATTTTATAACATTTCATGCCATAGTTGTTAAGTAAATCACCACAGTTTTAAACTAGTAGCATGGTTGTTAAGTGAATCTGGCTTCTCCCTTGATTTTGCTTGTCAGAAGGTCACAAAAGGGATCATATAACCCTGAGACACTGCAACCGTCATAAATAGGAACCAACTGCCAAGTGCCTGAATTTTGATCATGTGACCACGGGGATGTTTCAATGGTCATCAGTGTGAAAAATAATCCTAAGTCACTTCTTTCAGTGTTGTAACTTCTAAGGATAACTAAATGAACTGTTCGAAGTTGAAAACTACCTGTACAATTTTTTTTATTATAGTGCTTTTAAATTTTCATATTATACAATGATTGTTTTTAGAAATATATTTATGCACAAAATATTCACAGTGCTGTTTTTGTTACCGTTTTTACAAAAGTATATGCAATCTTATGGAATTTTATTTATGTAATGAATTCACTGATTCCTGTTCTCTCTTCGGGAATTTGTATATTAACATCAATAATGTATACAAGTGCTAATAATGAAATAAAAATATGAACTGGCCTACAGTGAACTCCTCCTTTATCGCTAGTTCTTGTTACTATATTTTTCTTTGGGTTTTTTACGCTTTCTCTTCCTCATTTACATGACAATAAACAACACTACTATATTGGTTGGAAGCTTTATATTTCTGTTATTATAAACTTCTGCCTAGCTTGTTGCACTGTCATGTTCCCATCCATGGCTTAATTAAAAAAAATAGTCAATACTCCTTCATTAGTGCCCTGATTACCATAATTGTTCTTGATATAAAGATCTGTTACAATACTAGCCTATGACATTCAGTATTAGTGCATTGCACAGCCTTATCACAGAAAAATACCATAGCAACTTCATTGCTTGTTCTGGCTTTGGTTTAGTGACTATCTTCTGGAGAAGAATTCACACATCATAAAATAAATCGTTAGATAGGTTACCATCAGTGGTGGGATTCAAATAATTTAACAACCGGTTCTCTGCCCTAATGATTTCTTCCAACAACCAGTTCACCAAACTGCTCCTGGCCATTCTCATATTCCTGATTTAGCCGCTATATTATGATTTTTAAAAAATGTATGTACTGCAGGAAGCAAGCAGCAATTAGTTAGCTCCATTATATGTAACGATTTATACCTGCTGAATAAAATACGATTCAGCTGATTATGAGGTATATCACAATTACTTGTTACTTGGCCACATGTTTTTCAACGAGAATAAAAGTAGGTCAGAAAAATCAACTGTTGCAATGGGAAATGTTGAGTTTTTCATCAACAGGATTGTTTTATATACAAATACAGTAGAGCTAGAGAGCTTAGGTAAATAAAAAAAAACCTGATGCACAGTTTATAGAGCTGTTTCCAATTCCACTCATAATTGGGAGTTTAGACAGCAATTGGATTTCTTACCTTCATTGATTTTAGCGGGAGGATGTGTTCAGCACTCCACCTGACATCTCTATGACCTTTAAGGCTTGAAAGTGGCTCTGCTTAACTCTAGTTTTATTGAGCTTTTTCTGCTAATGATAAACAATGAAAAATGCATTCTGTCCATTTGAAAAAAAATTAAGTAGCTTACTGGGAAAGTGATGGTCTTCAACCTGCTAGTTCCTTTGTTATTCTTTCAAACCCACAGATAGCGGTGGTATTCTACCGGTTTGGCCCGGTTCTGCCGAGCCGGTAGCGGCAATGAGCAGCAGACACCAAATCAGTCCTCTCCGCTGCTCTGCTGTTAGGCCCACCCGCCCGCCTGGGCTCCCATACTCACCTTTATCCTCTGAATTTGAAGCACAGTTGCTTTGCATGGCATAGCAGAGGGCCACACGGCAGCTGCTGAAGTGACCGGAAGATCGTGCAGGCTTGCAGGAGGTGAGTTAAAACACCTTTGTGTCTGCACAGTGTGTGCACACGTGCAAAGAACAACCACCAAGCCATACCCACCAAACCGGTGGTAACAATATTTGAATCCCACCACTGCCCACAGAATATTGGAAGGGAATTGTGCAAAGATTGTGGGGTTTTGGGTGTCCACCAGGATAATTTCAAAAACAGAATGGGGCAAGATTTGTTGGTGGAGGAAACTAAAAGGGAGAAGACTGAGTTTGAACATGGTCCAGATGTGGCTGTGGAAAGTAACATCCTAGAAAAAAAGAATTCCCCAATGCAGGAACTTGGAATGTTGGTCTGTTTTAAGCCTTCTTCTTTCCCAATCACAGTTCTGCCCAGCACTTCCCAGTGCATAATAATAGCACAAGAACAATGCATTGTTTCATTAAAAGAATAGACAGACATTTCCTATAGCTACTGTTAGTAAAAGGGTTGGAAGAGGGCAGGATTATAGAAGCCACGTCTTTCATTCTTTCCCTAATTTGTTAAATTTCTCAAGGGTACCTTCATACATGGCAAGAATTGTGGGAAAACAAACCTGGGATGCTATCCTGGATTTCTATCCAAATATATAACTATAGAAAGATGTGGCAACTTAGGCTTGGATGAATAAGATCAGTCTTTCTCAGCTAATTCTCAGAACAAACTATACAATACATAGTTTAAGAATGTCTCCTCAGGAAATTTCAAGGAACCTGGGATGATCTCACCACAGCCAAACCAGAAGGAACATAGAACATGGAATAACAGAGTTTCTTGGCCAAGGGAGCCAGCATATCCAAAGACACTTCTGTGGTCATGGGGCCAGCATGGCTATATGCCAAAGGTGCACGGAATGCTCTTACCTTCTCACCAAAGTGGTACCGATTTATCTGCTCACATTCATGTGCTTTTGAACTGCTTGGCGGGCAGGTGCTGGGGCAAGTAATGGGAGCTCACTCCATTGCACAGAGCTCGGGTCTCAAACCCAGGTTGTCAGCTCTCTAGCTGACAAGCTCAGCATCTTTAACCACTGAACCATTGCATACCTGTACTGTATAAGTATATTTATTTGATGATGCTTCATTTAAACTTATGTTTGTATATCAGTGACTGCCTGACCTCCGTTAGATGCCGTATGCTAAATAAAATAAATAAATAAAAGCTCTGCCTTCCTCCCTTTCCCTGGAGCAAGGCCAAATGGATGGTTTTAAGCAGACACAGGCTTCCTTCTTGCGTGGGTGATTCCCAATCAGCCTTCTCATTACAGACAGACGGCAATTGGCACCTGTTTCTTATATTGCTGATTTCCTATTGTGAGATCTTTGCAACTTGAAAAAAAAGGGCTCTGGGAATTATTATTATTTTTTTGAAAAGTAACAAGTTCAATTGCCTGAAAAAACTTTGAAAATCCCTGACCTTGATAACAGCAACACACAAAAGAGAAATCCTCGTAGAAGACCTAAATTGCTGACTCCAGATGTGCAAAAATCCTAAATGAGATTAATTTCAACACTTTCCCCCCACCCCTCAGAACAGTGTTTGGCATAATTTACTGTTTGCTTTAGCACACTCAGGTTTTGAAGTGTTATCAGCTCTGAAAGTGCTTATAACTGCTGCTACTCGTGCTAGCAGTTGCAAGCACTCCTAAAGTACTGGTAATTAATGTTGTGCAGCCTTACCCAATCTAATAAATTTCAAATATGTGGGGTTATGCCCCCATAATTCCCAAACATTACCTGTTTGCTGTGCCTATTGTAGGAATCGGTATCACATATCTTAGAAGGAACCAGTCAAGTATAGCTTGGTACATCATAAAGTTTACTACTATAGGATTTGCTATCCTTAGCAATACAGATAATCCTCAAATTCTGACTGTAACGAAACCTGCCCATTACTGTTCTAAGTCATAATGGTCATTAAACATAAGACATTTTTGCAGGTCATTAAGTGCAAACAGCACAATCATAAGTGCATAACCCCAGGGTTGTTAAATGTGCTATTGTTTATCATTTGCTATAAGGTATTGTTTACCTTTTGCCAGAAGAAGTGCTAGTTTTCAGCAGAAATGTCATAAAATGCAGTGACATAACTATGGGACTCTGCAAGTGCCTATGATTGCCTTGTTGTTGAGCTTTGTGTGGGAGTGCAATGGTCAGAATGTTGGATCCAGGTCATAAGTCCCCCTTTTCAGGTAGGTTGTAACATCAAACAATCGCTAAGTCATTAGTCAAGGGATATCTGCATGATTGATTC